ATGCTTAGTCAAGCGTTCACAAAAGAGCACTGGATTTCTTCGAAAAATAATGTCTTTACAGTTTGAACTAGGATTCATGTACGCCAGTTAAACAGCGCACACACTGTTTCTGTTCCAGCAGTGTTTTGCCCAGCATCTGAGATCAAACTCTCAGGAAATAGCAATGAGTCTCCACATTCCAGTAAGATAAAAATTATTCTCAAAGCCAAAAGGCGGCTGGATACTGACACAGTCCCATATTGTTCCTCGGAGAATTTGAACAGGTCTGATGAAAAGTGAGGGAATTTCATGACGGATGTCCTTTTGCCTATCTTCTTCAAGAGTCCATCGGAGCTGAAATTGAGGAGTGAATTTTCTCAAGGTTGTTGGAGGAATGTGATTCTACATTACAAGATAAGACCACCTTGGGCTGATTTTAGCCAGATCTGTCTGGGTCAGCGAGCTGAAAGATATGGTGTGGAAGAAGTTCAATGTACATACATATCGCCACTTGGCTGAGGTGTTCCTCTTGCTATGGCTGTGGTTACCAGTCACGTGACACCTCCAGCCTATCAACGATCTGAAAGTATTCGGTGAGAAATTAAGCCGTGGGACCACCTGTCTATTTTTGTTCTAAGCCCCGTGAAGGTTGACGTGGACACAATTTTCAATGTGCTGCAAAAAAAAGTATAAATAAATATTTACGGAAACACGAGCTGGCACATGCAGAACGAAGATGGGAATTGTGACTCCTACGTTGAACAGCAGTTATTGAAAAAAAATGAGACCTATGGGTTTTTTTTTAAATCTCTGAAGCTTTCATGTGTGAAAACATTGTTGTGTATATTATACCCAGATACCTTATGGTGGGAATTGCAAAGAAAACCCATGAATAGATAGTCTAAAGGTCCATAATTATTCATGTAAAAAGAGGAATTGTGAAAGTAATTAATGGGGACTGAAAAGGGGTTAAAATGTAAATGGAAATATTAATGATTTAAAATTCACACACCGTGTGTGTAGTGTGTGCGTGTACATTGCTTTTATTGAAGCAATGCAGGTCAGGATGACACTGGATATAATTCTAACCCGTATTTGCCTGATTAAATGCAGTGCATTTTCAGCTGTGTGGTTCAAATTGCTTGTTAACTCTCATAATGAAGTACTGTGATGGATTTATTATTTTGAGTTATATTTATTTTTGCACAGAGACAATGCACTTCAATGTTTACATAATATAACGCGATAATTTATTTATTTTACTTAAAATATATTTATCAATGCATCAGCCGCTCACTGTTGCCACGCTTTGTTTATGCACCAAAAGCACATATTTATCTCTCTGTGCGGGTCAGCTCTATTAAGCGACATGAAGCTTGTTTACAAGAAGGCCCCATTTTGTTTCCGCGGGTATTACCGAGGCCCACGGGAACCGTGTGTATCGACTGCAGCTGTTAATGGCGCTGCGCTACCTGCCATCTTTTTCACAGGCATTACAGAGCGTATCGACTGAGCATTGCCAATGTCATGTGCAGCGTGCGTCAGTGTATACAGTCTTTGATGAACACGCACTCCGCCCTGAGATTAATGGGCTCAGATTGACCGAGGCCTCGCCTTAGCAGGCTCAGTACCAGGGACAGCGCTAGGAGGCTAATAGGCTGAGCCCTGCATCACCAAATGTCCCTTTGGACGGCCACCCACGTTGGCTCTCCGTGGTAATATCCCTTTCATGGTGGCCCACACAGCAGCGCTACTGGCCACCTCATCCAAGAGGAGCCATCTCAATACGTTCACTGTACTGAACAGCACAGAGTGCAGCTTTCTCAAGTTGGGAAAGTGTTTCTTTTGCTGGTATGGTGGACTGGGTAGTGGCGTATCTATCGAGTATACAGGCAGTGCAACGGTACTTGGGTCTATCCTTCTAGATCCCGTCTGGGGATGAAGATGGTATTATAGATGTGCATCGGTCACTTGATACCTGTGTGCTCCATCCGGTTCTCTCTGTTTTTGTACTGTTGCTGAAAATCATAAAAGAAATGCCAGTAGCGGAGGGGTGGAGTAGAAGATGTGGGGATTGCCACTGTGTTTGTGGGCTCCACTTAAAAAAAAAAAAGATGTGTGGCTAATATGATGCTTTGGTATTACTGAGCAATTTTACCCCAAACCAGAAATACGTGAGATTTGTCTGCATCACCATGAGCTTGTGAGAAAGCACCGAAGTATGTGAGTGTCACGCCGGAAGTGTGGCACTTGATAGTTCTGCATTTTGTGTGCTCACGAACAGCTCTCGACTTACTATGCGAGTCGGGTTCACGAAACTGGAGTTGGCATGACTATGAGCATGTAAAATGGATACACTACTTCAAAAATAAAGTCTTACCATTTATTAAATCTAAGGCTGCCATTAGAGTTGGGGATCGAGGGACTAATGAAGGGGGTGGCATTAGTAGAGTAATCTGAGGTCTTCAAGAGAATTTCCTCTGTAAAAAATACATGTTCCCCCTAAAAACGAATATATGTGCCGCCGAGGAATAAATATTTAGTTTCCCTTCCGAAAGTTTGTGCTCGCTTCATTTTCTGTAACAGTGACCCTAAACCGAGCCACAAACAATCTTCGCTGGTGGGAACGAATACTCGTTTCCCTGGGGGTACAAACATTCGATGGAAGCAAAATGAATTTACACCGGCACATACCTTGATGGCCTTTAATGGAGGAAACAGCACAAGTGTGGGTGTTAACAGTTGAGAAAACGACCAGTAGGACAGCCCATTTTACCCCCACCCCCCCTCACTTGATCCGTCTATGGCCACAAATGAAAGCAACTCCAGGTGTGAATGACCCACACAAACCCAACTGTGACGAAGAAGGGCTCTCACGACTGAAATATTACAACCGTGCATGAATAATTCATAAACAGTTGCATGGTTTATGCATGACCAGTGCATGAATAAGTAAAAATGTTATTTGTTTCACGCAGCTAAACAGTTTCTTTGTGTAAGTTGCAGTCTGTTTGCCGTATTTGATGGTGAAAAAGATGGTGTCTCCCCATGCCTTCGCTCATGATTATGCTGCGATTGAGAAGCAGTGCGCATCGCCACGATGACTGCTGGGTGATAAGTTTCCTGGCAACTTGTCAATTTGATTGAAAATGGTATACATTGCACAAGTGAGCTCGAGTAGGTTGAATGGCTTACCACTGGAGTACGGGTGGCAGAGAGGGGGGGAGTCAACAACAGGGAAATCGACCCACGCAGCGGTAGCTTGTCTATAGGGGGATCGGTGGGGTTGGGACTCACGAGTGAATAAATACAAGAAAAAAAAACGTGAACAAACTTGCCCGCTCGTTTTAAACCTTTTAAACTACGTACGGCCAGCTCACTGCCTCTCCATCCGCCACTCCCCCCACTCCCCCCACGCCCACGGGTTTATGACCCCCACAAATATTATTTGCCCACCGCTCGCCACTGCAACGCATGCCGATGAGACGTCTTCTCTCCATTGTGAGGCGGGCTGAGTAATGCTAGTGGAGTGTGTGTGTGTGCGAGTGCGTAGATATCAATCATCATTTTGGTCCCTGTGTGAGCAAAGAGTGGGGGGACTCTGAGAGAGTCCTAAATTGAAGGGAATTATGCGATGGCACATCTGAACACATGTCACACGGCAGCAACGCTGAGCGGGAAGGCGTGCGAGTAAGGGCGATATATTACGTGCTGCTCTGGGGACTACACGAAGAAATTCACAACACATTCCTGCGGAGGGAGCTGGTAGGAACGTTGGGTTGCTCGGTCAATGGGCAGGGTCAACGGCGGCGTGGTGTATTCCGCAAATATGCCCGACTGTGAGGGCGGGCACAAGCCGGCGTGAGTAGGTTAAATGTTGAGTTTTATAAGGGCACCACGGGGTGACCAGCCCCTCCCCACCCAGCCCCACCCCACCCAGCCCCACCCCACCCACCCCCCACCCCACCCACCCAGCCTCTCCCTACCCTCCCCTCCCCACCCAGCCCCTCCCCACCCTCCCCACCCAGCCCCTCCCCACCCTCCCCTCTCCACCCAGCCCCACCCCTCCCATTTTTGGATGCACGACGGACGGACGGACGGACACAATAACCCCCTGTGGGCTGGTGTCACCAGGAGGTTCCTACCAGTATCACACTGTTTGTTTAGCATCTGTTCATTTGATGGGCACAGTTTAACCTGTTTGGCTCGGGCATCCTGTGGGACGTCAGCAAGCACTTACCTGGGTCAGCTCTGCACACAAAGCAAGGTGTGAAGAAGGTCAAGTTGTTAAGGTCAAGGTGCAGCTCTGCAATTGCTCGCTCACACTACTGCTGGTAGATGGGCCTCCACTAAAGGCAGCTCGAGAGAGAGCCCATCTCGGGGACATTGGTCTACTCTTCCACACTGGCCAGACGTCTTGGAAGAGGTGTGAGTAACCGCACTTTACCCCACCACGTGCAATCTGCCGAGCGACTAAACTGAGGCGCACCCAATCCATGTTGTTGAGTGGACAGAGGTGGGGCAGGGAGGATGCCTTGGGACAGGGTTACAACAGAGCATTAGGGGAGTAGGGCAATGGTAAAGAACAATGATAATTTACACTTGTAAGGCGCATTTCATCCATCGATCCATGTGCGCCATTTGTGGTGACCTCGGCTCTGTCTTTCTGTACTATTTTTCTTTACTTATTTTTATTTCACCGGGTAAGGCCCACTAAGCTTTCTAGCTCTTTTACAGAAGCGACCTGGCCACAAACGATAGCTCATGTGTAAATTTATATCAGTCAAATACTCTCAACGCATGTTTCTAAAAGTGTAGGGAACCCCCAGAGGACCTGGAGAAAATCTAGATTTGAAATTATCGTGACTGCAGAAAAATCCATGCAATCGCGGGAAGAGAACATGCAAACTCCAAATATACAGCAGCAGGTGTCAGGCTCGGGATCGAACCCACGACCTCCTGTATACCAGGTGAGGTAGTTAACATCTCTGTAGGCCTGGACGCACGGACACATGGCTCACCGGGCATGTGCACCATACGACAATTGCAATTTTCGACCAGGTATCGCGTCTCGCAGTCGATGCGACACGCTGTGATGCTGTACGTCTCGAAGAAGTCCGAGGAGATGGGCGTGCTCTTACAGTCGCCCCACGGTGGCGGAAGATAAATCAGCTGCGAGGGGGGAAGGGTCAGGAAGGCAGAGAAAAGGGCACGTTGTTGTTGTTGTGGGAATTACGACGAATGAAATGGGATACAATTTGTCGGGATGGTGAGTGAAGTGATGGAGGGGGTGAATGGGGGGGGTGTGTGCGAATACAGGATCGGTGGCGGGAGGGGGAAGGTTATACGGGGACAAGGGAGAAAAAAATGTGAAAACAAACTATGACGTGTAATTATCACCCATTTTCCTGACGATCAATAGAACCAACAGCCCATTTCTGTTGAGTGGCCTGCTGGAATTGTATCTGCAAATGCTGACAAAAATGTAGATATGTTTGTTGCTTTATTTGTTCGTCACCGATAAGTCACGTAGCTGATCTGAAATTAGAGCACATCGACACTCGAGGCTGTGATGCATAGCCCGAGGAAGAATAATTAAAATCTAAAAGTGATATATTTGTGCGAACTCTCTTAAACTTGCAGGTCGTACTTAAATATCTATTTCAGTTGCCCGAGGTGCCGTCTCACAAACTTTTCCTTTGAACAGACGAGGCCTGTTTACTAACCTTGTGTGTGTGTGCGCTTGTATATCTCATACTACCAGATATACCCGGACACAGCCATAAATAATTGTTTAATTTGCATGGAAATTTTCCATTTGTTAAAAGATTACAGCCACGTAAGCGGTGCTACGACTCGCTGGTGGAAATCGGGCAGCAGTGGCCGTTCGCTTTACCGCCAGGGTTGGAAAAAACACCCAAGATTAATCATGTTTCAATTAATTTAACCTCAGCCCATGTTTAAATAGATGTTGATTACACGCTAAATCGATTAATATACAATTAACGGAATGTTAAACACAGTTTCTCTGCATTCACACGTGTGTAATGGGGTTTCATCCTTGGTGGGTAAGGCACTTGGTCATAAGAACTGTATTTAAATTGTCTTCCAATCAACAGATTCTGAGGATGGTGAATGAGTGGCAACATTTTTTGGAAAATCAGACATTCAAAGCTAATACATGCTCCTAAGCATTGCATACTTTTAATTTCAGTTACAGGGACTCCTCCACTTACGAACGAGTTATGTTCCAGAAGTCTGTTCGTAAGTCGATTTGTTCGTAAGTCCAACTTTACTCCTGTCAATTCCAAACGTTGTACGGCATGTACACCAAACACGGGGAATGGCTTTAAAATGTATAATCTCCTGTAGATATAGATGCCATTGGCTCTTCATGTTCTGCAATAGGAGATTCCACACCGCCATCGGTTGCGCAGCGGTTAAACTTATAACTGTCAGTCCGAACGGGCAACTGGACATACGGACATGTTTGTTTCTATCTATGAAAGTTCGGAAGTCGAATGTTCATAAGTAGAGGAATCTCTGTACTAATATTGTGGCGCAGTGTTGCACAGCTTTATGAGTCCTACGAACATTGATCAAATTCTCAGCCAAGGCTAACATCGATGTCGTGTGATGTCTGAACAATTCCTGACCCTCTCTCCCCTTCTCCAGCACGTCCTGACCAGTGCGGTGAAGTTTGGTCAACCAACCCTCATGGCCGACATGGCGTGAGGAGGCACTGATCCAGCAGTGGATTGACACGTTATAATAATATACTATTGTGATCCATTATCATCATCACATGGCATTACTGTACATCATCAGCAAATTGAATGGTGCTTTTAATACAATCAGTACACTCATAACAATATACAGTAACCTTAACATTTGGATATTGTGGCTGATTAGTATTTCCTTGGCTTAATGTCCGACTTACACACACATGGTAAAGTTGATGCCCAATGAAGACATCTATATGAAGTGGGGTCTTTGCCTGAAACAATATAAATTATCCGCTGCTCTTCTGAGCCAACAAATATTTGCCAGAGTACTGGCAACAAGTAAACATCATAACAATTTCTGCATCATCAAAATAGTTCCAGTTCAGTATTGTTAATGTAAGCGTAGGGGGGTATAGCAATTAAACCACCTCGTTATTCAATTAATTGTCTTGATTAAAGAATCAAACATTTTTTTCAGGATGTGGTTAATTGTAATGGGTCATGTAGGCCTATTCCAAACAACATAAACGAATAAAAAAACTCAATTTGAAGCAAGCATGGAGAGCTTAAAATTCGATATCTCTCTGATGTGGTTTCATGTCATGTACTTCAAAACCCCATAACGTTTCAGACAGCTAAACATCGCAAAGCAAGAATGCCTACTTACTGTAGTCGTAGTAGTATTAAGAGTCGATCATCAATTTTAATCAATGCAACGTTACACCCATATTGAGCATGTTCACGTGCCAATTCTAAGTGGCCACGAGGAGGCTAGAGTTATTCGCAGACAATACCCCAGTGTTTGTGTCTGAGGACTGTGCTGCAATTGGCAAATCCTAAAGAGTGTATCAAGAAGGATGTGGCCCAGCAGGGGCTCCTGATCCATGTGGCTCTCCCTTCTCTTTATTCAGCCCCGGCCTCGTCGAATACTGCAATGAATGACGTTGGGTCGCATTATATCCACGTGAAGGCACCTCTGCCTGGATTACATGAGTAGCCCCTGGAGTGGCTATTTTATTACTTCTCCCTTCTCTTAGTTACACACACACAGGGCGTCTAAGCAAGAGTTCCCTGCAGAAAGACCTCTGAGGCTTACGTGTCAGTCGCATCACCACGGTAATGTTTACAGAACACACACACAGGTCACGTGCAGTGTGTAAAAAAACATTACAGGATATGTATTGGATTGCGGCTGTGAGCACGTGTGAGTGAGAGCGCGCGCGTTGTTGTGAGCGTACATTGCCGTGTGCTTGCGTGTGTGTGTCTGGGTTTGTGATCGTGAGTTGCGTAAGCATGGCGCAATTTGTGCGCACGCATAGCTCTCGGCACGATTTGTGCGCACATATGTTGAGCGTGTGCCCGGGTTGTGTGCCGATGCGTTCAATCGGGGGGGGGGGGGGGGCTTTTGCATTCCTGGCACTCGTCGCCGTCGCACCGAACTCACCCGCTGTTCCTGGCACGACACGAACGTCTGGAAGCCTGGCGAGACGCCAAAGCCCAGTTGGTCGATGAGCGGAGGCTCGTCCTGGCTGTGGATCTGCACCTTAATCCCGGCCTCAAACGAAGTCTCGTCTGCAGCAACAGCAACATGTCAAAAGTCCCCGATGGCTTAATAACACAATGCATAACACAGCAATATGGCCCTGCCAGGGTATCAAGAGACTCGGGGTGTATGTGAGAATACTGCTCTCCAAAGGCAATGTTGGAATCCACTGGTAATCACAGCTCCGTGGGTTTCTGCGGTTGTGTTGTACAGCTCCCTGATGTGTTTGCTGGTTTCTACCCTGTGTTGTTTGGCACCATGTTCATGTTTCGCTCCACATGATGGGAGCTTTCTTCAGGAAACTAAATTCAGTTTCCTGAACTCCCAGCACTTGCACCAAAACTCAGTTCAGTTCCAGAAGGAGCAAAACGTCAAACACCAAAATACAAGGTACAACCCGACAGCACATCAGATAATGATCTACTGATATCGTGTCATTCCATGCAAATGACACTTGTTGATAGGTATCATTTCTTACACAAACTCAAATTAAACCCCGTGAAGTTTCCTGAATTGACTTTGAAAAAAGTCTTGCACCTGGGATAAAATAACAACTTTAAGCTTAAAACACCAATTCAAATGCAATCTACGCATCAAAGGGTGTGCGTTAATAGGTAGTCGTAAAGATGAACAGCCCCACCGCCGGGCTCCATGAAAGCGCTTATTAAAATGGTCGAACATATTTCTGCGCATTTCTCTCTGCAGCACGAGATTGGAAATAGAATAGAATATAAATCCGAAATAGAATAGAATTAAAGTCATATTCTTTGGTTCTTTCGGTAAAGTCACGTACATAGAAAATTTATAATGAAAACGAAAGTGAATAAAAATAATAAAGATACAATAAAAATAATAAAATCAATAACCCAAACTGACGCCTACCTAAAACCTGATTCCCACCACCATCCATCAAAGAAAAATTATCTCATCAAAACGCTACACCACAGAGCTAAATGTATTTCAATGTATCTCCGACCATGAACACCTAACCAGTGAACTCAAACACGTACACCAAGCTCTCAAGGCGAATGGATATTCTGACTACACAATCCGCAAAGCCATCACCCCAACCGTGAGGAAGGAGCCATCTGAGGATGCAATCAAAACCATCACCCTGCCATACATAGCAGGGGTAACCAAAAATATTTCCATAATCATGAACAAACACAAGATCCAGGTCCGATTTAACACAGTACATAAAATTCGTGATCTGATCCCATCTGTGAAGGACAAGATTCCTGACACGCAATATCCCGGCCTCTACAATCTAAGGATTCTAAGCTGTATCTGCGGCAGCAGTTACATTGGGGAAACTAAACGACATGCCTTGTTCGTGAGCATAAGGCAGATTTGAAACACGGTAGGACCAATACTTCTGCCGTGACTGATCATTATTTTAATGCAGCTGGCTCACACAAAATGTATTTCTCTAAGGCGATGGTACTTTGCAAGCTCACTGGCTATCAACAAAGATTCGTTCATGAAGCCATCCATATATACAGACACAGACACTTTTTCAACCGAGAGGATGGTTATAAACTCAGCAAACATTGGAAAGATGTCATCAACCACTTTGGGTCATGACTTGATTTGTGTTTTCTTGTCAACCTCCACCGTCATCAGCGTGGGTGTGTGGAGCGAGGTGCAAATGTTTGCCTGGCGGCCCTTTTGATTGGTGTAGACCCACTGCGTTGGCGTTGCTTTCTCCTACATTAACATTAGCTGCCCTGCCCATGCTGCTGACACACGTGGACTACATTAACATCAGCTGCCCTGCCCATGCTGCTGACACACGTGGGCTACATTAGCATCAGCTGCCCTGCCCATGCTGCTGACATATTTGGGCTACATTAACATCAGCTGCCCCACCCACGCTGCTGACACACGTGATCTACATTAACATCAGCTGCCCCGCCCACACTGCTGACACACGTGGTCTACATTAACATCAGCTGCCCCACCCATGCTGCTGACACACTTGGGCTACATTAACATCAGCTGCCCTGCCCATGCTGCTGACACACTTGGGCCACATTAACATTAGCTGCCCAGCCCATGCTGCTGACATGTTTGGGCTACGCCCATTCCTGATGACGACCGCTTGTGTTGCGATCGAAACGTCGTGGTTTTTGTTTTTATTTTATTTTTATTACTGAAAGAACCAATAATAAGTATATTATAGACTGCCAGTACGCTTACTCAGGTTAAGAACCAGGCTAAAGTCTACGTTATAAACTGCCAGTACACTAATCCAGCTTAATAACCAGGCTACAGTCTAAATTATAGACTACCAGTATACTCACCAAACTTAATAACCAGGCTACAGTCTACATTATCGATTGCCAGTACACTCACTCCGATTAAGAACCAGACTAAAGTCTACATTAGTGTTGTTTTTGTTTAGATTATTTAAAAAAATTGTATTCACTTTATTTTTTATTATAAATTTTCTTCTACCTACGTGACTTTACCGAAATAACCAAAGAATATAAATTCCTGCAGTCACGAAAGTTTTAAGTCAAAATTTAATAAAATTAATGTTAATAGAGGGGAGGTGAAATTAAGGTCGTTGCTTGGCTAATATGTTTTTTTCTAATGTACCCTGATACATGCATATCACTCAAAACAGACCACGGACCAATATATCTACCTCAAAATTACCTTAAAATTACCTCAATATTTCACTTTAACAATATTATTAGTTTGTTCAAGACACTCAAATACCGATATAAGATTTTCGGGGGGGGGGGGGGGGAATGATTCAATAACTTATTATATCAGTGATCATCGTAAGCCATGATTAATCCACTGCTGGTTGAAGGCCTCTCTAAGCTGTTGCCATCTCTCAAAAGCAGCACACGAGTTGATTTCATTGCCACATTTCCGAGGCAGAAGGCCTCTCAGCAGCATTTCCTCCTAGAACTTCCACTCTCAATATTCTCGACCACTGGCTAGCATCCCTTCAGTTCACATGCCTTGCCCTAGCCTGCACATTTCCCCTCAGTATTTCCGTGTAAATAGATGATTACTTGATAGACACAAGTCCAGGAACAGCAGAGAATAACACAGGAGCCTTCATTGATGTTTTTGTCACTTGGTTAATATTTCTCAATATCTAGATCTGAAGTTTTCGTGACTGCAGGGATCCATACTCTTTGGTTCTTTCGGTAAATTCACGTGGGTAGAAACTAAAATAAATAAAATCACGACGTTTCGATCGCAACACAAGCGACTGTCATCAATTGGAACAGATACAGCAGCAGAACTGCTGACCTTACACTTACGTGACTTTACCGAAAGAACCAAAGAGCATTTCTAAATATGGTTTGACTGTTCTAGTTTTCTCTCAAAGAGAAACCAAAGTCTCCAAGGGCAAGGGCTGCAGTTAGGAACACATGCGAAAGCTTGATAATGTGCTAGCACGTGAGATTGTTTGGAGGTAAATATCTAAAAACTATTACAGCGAAAGGAAAAAAAATCACCTTTCTCGTAGCATTAGAATTAGAATATTCGGACACTCAGGCACATGTGCGTATGATTGGCAGCTGCTCTCCCCTGCTAGCCTAAAGTACCATCACTGAGGACTTGGGTAAACTTAAGATATTAATGCAAAACCATTTCACTTATTCAGCGGAAACCCCAAATGGAAACGGTTGTGTTCTAAGACCCTATAGGTCGACTGCCCTGGTAAAACCTCTAAAGACGTAAATTACATAAAAAATTAAGATACGTATAAATCAAACAAATACCACCCAGTGTGAGTTACCCTCTTTTATAAACGTGTTTACTAAACGCCTATACTAATGTGTCATTTCAGACATTAAAACAATGTAAACACTCTAATGTATTTTTTTTACTTCACAAATTGCCTCTGATTTACGAGCGCGCATTTTTTTTCAAGGCGACCAGGGTAATTGGGTCCATTAATCAGATGTTTTAGCCCAACGTTGCTATGAAAATCCAAATAAATCATTGACTCTATTGCAGAAATGCCATTTACAACATTATGACCCTTTTCCTCCGCACGACATGGCCATCGCGCTGGTATGGGTATAATTAAGAAATGCAATGGGCCATGGTGTGTTATTGTGTCCCCCTTCAGGCCTGTAGCTGCTTGCTGGGATCAGGACAGATGGGTGTGCTGGTACTGCTGGTTGTTTTTACAAGGGTAAGATGATGAACCTTTTCAAGGTGGGAGGCCATGAGCAGGCTTGAGTCGGGGCCACACAGAGAACCGCCAGGTGATTGCTGCAGGCAGTGAGCTTTGTGCCAAAAGAGAGTACAATCCAAAGTCCTTGACGCTGGTTTGTTTGTGATATTTACACCTATGTTAGAGTCTCCTCCATGGCTTCATGGAAGTAATTATGGGAGATTTAGGCACCATGTAAAATAACTTTTGTCCGTGAAGCTTTGTGCTGTGTACGTACGTTCGTCAACACTGAAATGCCCTTTCACGAGAAATTATTTCGAAAACTACAACTGTACGTTGACATTGGGTGCTGATGTTATGTTAAACAATAAACAGTGTTGCAAAACATACATTTCTGGAGACGCTTAAATAAGCCTCTTCACTTCATCATCTTCGAGATCTTTCATAAACTCCTGCACGCACTCTCTACTCTAGCAACCAAAACGGTGTTGTTGTTGAAGCCCCGAATAAACCTTTGCTGCCTTCAGAGTCTGGAAATAATTTTTTTCGCAGCTGTCCATGTTGACCCCCTTGCCCCTGTTTCAAGTCCAGGCTCAAGACCTTTATTTTTTTAACCTCTGCCTATGACTATAACTTCCTGTCAATAAAAATAAATCTGCTCGTTCTGTACAGTGCCGTGAGATGTGCTTGCATCTAGACACGATATAAATCCAAATTGTACATTGCATTTATACCGTGCAATAAATAAGCACGTGCCCTGTTGTATGAAGCAACCCCCTGATTGGCCTCTGACATAAGAACTGGACGAGGCAGATACTCCACAAAAGAAGCGCATTGGAGCTACATTCAGTAGAAGCTCATGGAACAAGAGTCGCTGACTGCATGACACAAAGAGACCCGTTCTTTCGGGTCTCTTTATGTTCACAAATATTTTTTTAAATATATGTGAGAAATAGCACGAAACATACATAAAATTGAGAGATACTTAACGCCATACACTGATTACAAAAATAACGCGAAAATAATCATGGCAATGAAATATAAATTTAACATGAATAGCTATTAATAATATAAATAATGTGGCGGTGTTGCGGTATTATGCTCTTGAGCTGGGATTTTTGGTGGAGCTGTGTGAATACCCTTGACCTCGTGGTTTCTTAGTTCTTCAAAAAAAATGTTGAGTGGTGCAATTCTTCAAAGAGAGAAAACTGGGTGCGTTTCCCATCACAAGGGGGTTAACTTAAACACGTGTATGTGACCCAGCACGCACCAATTTCAAGTGTGAGCGGCCCCATTCCACTTTTAACAGAGCCCGTGGCTTCATATAAATTCTAATGAAACTGCACAAAAACATAGAAATATTAAAATATAAAAGGTATTATAACTGAGCAATCTTTTTTTTAGCTCAAAATGCTTCAGCAAGTAACGGAAATAACCTTGGGCTGTTACTGATCAAATTAATCGTTCTGCGGACCAACTGTTCCGACAGAAAATCTAAGCGGGAGCCGTGGTGCAAGGCACCCACAAATCTGTCCCTCCTACTGCTACAAAGCGTGGCATAACCGTCGGCTAATTGCCAGAACATTCCGCACCAGCAATTGCTGTTGTGGTGGCGACATGAGGAAGCATTGATTGCAGAGTGCTGGGAGTGTTTCTTATATCTCCGGAGAGAGGCAAAGCCATTTGCCACCCCATGCGCACACCTAATCGCGACACAAAATGCCACGAGCGATTTAAAAATTCAGAGGTTGTTGCTCAGGGCTTAGTTCCTTCAAAAATCTTGCCTAGAATTTAATAAAATTTGATGGCTCTGCACACACAAAACTAATTTACATTTCACAGTTGCTTATTTTCGTATTATGTGTTCAGAAACTCAATGTACACAGCGTAAATAAATATGCCTGCATCTGTACTGGAATAATAAAATATTGCTTTTAAATGAATTGTGCAGCACAAAAAATAATATCCTTTTCAGTTTTGGACTTGTATTAAATGTCTAGTTAGCAGGCATGGCTGAGATATGCCTAATTTACATTTAAGTCCCAATTTTCGCCTTAGCCTGAGCGTAATTACCGTGTGGACAGACAAAAAGCATGCAACCCCACGACAACAAAATAATAACTGTGCATTGAGAACATTTAGCAGCATCACAGTAATACCATTAAATGCTGGCTTTTAGGTGTTTCGTGTTGTTAAGATGCTTTGAAAAGGGTAAGTCGTGGACATCAACAAAAAAATCCATGCAAGTAATATTTCGCGATATTAAAAGAAACCTTACTTCGCTGTCAGCATTGGTGTTGAAATGTCATGGGGAAATAGCAGTTCACAAATATTGTTGTGGTATTTTCTAGTTTGACTTGTAACAGTGAGCAGAGTGGTGGCATAGCGGACATCGGACTGTACTATCAACCCGTCAACCTGAGATATCCTTTTAACCCTGGACACAGCTAAGTGTAGCAGTGGCCAGTGATAGCTAAACCTGTCCACCCCCCACTCTACTAACACTGACCAGAATGGTAAAGTATGTCACAGTGGATTGATAAAGGTCTGTAAATAACAGCAGTGATGTGTATATCCAATGTATGCGCTTGGATTGGCGGTGCAGTGGTATATCTGCAATGCGCTGCACATCAGGTCACCTGAATCTTGATTCCCAGTCGTGGCTAATGTAAGTGACAAGTGGTATCTGAAACTGTCCTAAACCTCCTTTAATTCAACTGAGCTTTAACTAAGTACCTGCTACAGAATGTGAACAATCAGCAATGGTGAGACAAAGGTGGCTAAGTTTGGTCCTCATCACATTACCTCTCCATGCACTGTAGCATTTGCTCTAAAAATCTAGAAGGTTAGGAAGATTTGTCTTTGTGTGCCTTTAAGACTATACAAAGATCACTGTGTTTGTGTCTGCACGATGTGTGTTTGTTAATGAAGTGAGAAGGGCAGAATGTGACGAAAGGAAGCGAGAGAGGTATGGGGTGAGGGTGGAGGGGAGTAATTCTGATAGACGTGACAGTAGTGATGGAGAAAACAATGAATAAGTGAGGAGATACATTCTCGCTTAAAAGGGGGAGATAAATATGAATCACAATACAAATTTTGATTTGTTAATTATATGAATGCATTTGCATCTCAAGACGCCTTACAAAAGCTGTGGCACATGCTCATTCTTGGGGGACTACTGAAAAGATGTCGATGAGAATGTCTATACACTACATGAGAAGCTAAGAAAACATGTCATGGAGAAAAGACGGCCAGCGATAGGCACAGGAGAAGAGGAAGGTCCTGAGCCCGAGCTTAAACAGGAACAGATAGTTGGTGAGGGAATGTCAGACTCTAGGCGTAGACCTGGTAGAAGGAATACATTGAGACCCCCTGTACAATTGACCCTCTCTTTGTAGCTCAGTGCCTGGGCCCCTGGTGCAGTTACACCACCTGCACACTCGATATCTACACCACTGGTTTAACGTCTTGTACTAACATTATTGCAGTCAAAGTTGTCAGATATAAATGTATGTATGATGAACTTTTTTTCACACCGTACACAGCCAACCGTGCTAAAAATGTGGTGCGTCAGCCTGGTTAGATGCGTGTGCGTGAGGGACGGTTGTGAAAATAGTGGCTGGCACTGACCGTTTTCGCCCCACACAGGAAGGTACTCTTCCTGCTGGATGTCCAGCATGATCTCCAGCCCGTTCCCCATGCCGCCTTTCACCGTTGTCAGCAGCGGCCGCCCGCCCTTGCCCGAGTTGAACGTATAGCACTTCCCATAGCGAGTGTACACCTGGGCACCACACGCACCACAACACGGGGCATTGCACGGGTGGATGTGGCTGTCAGTGGTGATGGTACAAGGTAAGGGCCCATGGGGTGGATGTGGCTGGCAGTGGTGATGGTGGAAGGTAAGGGCCCAATGGTGGATATGGCTGCTGTCACTGATTATTGTCATTGTTTACCCTCGATAGCCTCACCGAGCCTCAATACTCTTCCTCAGCAGGGTCATGCCAGGTTTTTCGCAGTAGGCAGCGATGTTCAGAATCAAAATCTTTATTTAGACTGGAAGAATCCGAGGAGCTATGAAACTATTTTTGACAGTTGTCCGGTAAGGGGCAGGTCAGAAAGTTACAACAACAAACAATACAAAACCGATAGGAGTGCAAAGTATAGGAAAGCTAAGCAAGTGACTAAAACGAATACAAATAGATAATCTATATCTGCACAAATTGCTCAAGTGCATCGATTTTTTCCGATTTTTCAATACCACATTTAATCCAAATTGAGTACTTTGCAGGCACATGTTCAGCATTGTGATGTTTGGCCAATACCAGTTACATTGTAAGGTCTTTTTTTAAAGCTATGGGAGGAAACCTGCAGGACATGGAGAAAAAGCATGCAAACTCCAATCTCTTTGGAATGGAACCGAGGCCCTTTTTGCCCGGGAGCACAAATTGTACCACTGCACCACCCTGCTGCTCAACTGATGGCTCCCAGGGAAGAATCTCTGGGATTTGAACTAGAATGGACCATATATAATTGGAATCTGCACCTTCCATGGCAGATCCACAGACTACCTTCACAAGTTGGAAATGCAATGGAAGCTCGGCATGCAATTGGCCGCACAGCAGTGATCCATTGAAAACTTCCAATATATCAACGGAGCCATCGAAGCATCCACCGCACATCAACCAAAGCGATTTGTTGGATGACTAGACTGGGCATAGACTAATAACTTGTTATTCATGCAGCCATATGCAAGAAAAACTAACGGACACACACCATAGGTGTCGATGGGTACTCCTTTAAAGCATGAACACTGACACAGATTCATCTCTGAAATGCACTCTAACACAGCGTTTCCCAACTCCAGTCCTCGCTACCAACCATGACAACCAATCTTTTTACATCCATCCTTAAATTCAATCACGCTGCCTATGACCAAATCATTCCAGGATGCACTTGATCTTGTCAAATCTAGGACGCTAAACTGAGTTGAGGATGGATAGTTCTTAGATGGGCAATCACCTGAGACTACAAACTGCGGGTCTGCATGCTGGACAGCAGAGGGCAAAGTTTGCTTAAATAACCCCCACGATCAGCAAGGCTTGGAGAGGCCTTCATCCAACAGTGGATTGACAAAGGTCTGTAGTGTACACACATGCATATTGCATGCACATGATGGCTGGTAATATGGGGCGGCGTGGGGGTGAGGGGGGGTTGCGAGGATGGGAGTTGAGAAACGCGGCTCTCAAGTGCAGTGCAATGTTTTTGAAGAGTGCAGTGTTGGTGCTAAAATATCTTCAATGTCAGCCCATTTGAAGTTCTGCTGACAGGAAGGGTTTCCACGATACATTGAGCAATGAAGTAATAGGCATACTTTTAATGTCACGTTTCCCCAAACTTTATGACAGCCCCTCATAACTTTGGCCAGAAGTATTTGCATTGTACTGTGTGAGCTTGGCCAATACAAAGACTTTCTAAGTATCATTGTGCTCGCAAAAGGCCCCTGGGAGTACATGAGTGATTTGAAGGTATTATGCAATGTGCAGGAAAAGCGCATAAACTTTCGTTGATGTTGTTTCCTGTAAAAAAAAAATTCCCATAATAACAATTTCCAGTTAAGTAAGACTGCAGATGGACCAAGCAGTGCTCCACTCTTCACTGTATGTACCGGTGAGCTGTAAAAATACATTACATAAATGCACCTTTTAGAATGAATCTATTTGTAGAAGTGAAGAGACTTCAAGGAACAATTCCATGTCTTTACAATCCCCTTGATTCATTCAGCACATGAATCCCCCTCTTCTTGGGTTCTTGCTTCAGACATAACCATTTGTGCTGAATGAAGTGTGAAATTACAGATTTTTTTTCAAATGAAATTCTCAGTGGGCTTTCCAACCCATCTGTCACTTGCGCCTAAGGGCAACTTTGAGCCAAGCCGAGTGAGTTGAACAACTTTCCATCCGTGTCTTGCGCAAACATTTATTTTAAAATCCACACATGAACTGGCCCAGAAAACAAGTTGTGTGTGCTGTCTGAGGAAGATTATCAGCTCCTGTTGTTTTTCTCTTGCATAGGATCAAATTTGATCCCCTCTTGTTGTACAGATAAGCGTGCCCTGCTGCACACATGGCTATCTGTGCAAGTTATACCCCCATTGATAGACGCTGAGCTCCCGTTGTCAGGCGGCACAACTGCGGCAGCGCACGGCGCTCAGGGATAATTGTAAAAGTGACACTCATGATAGATGCCTTTTTCCTTTTTAGATTGAGCAATCTTGGAGCAATGGGCCCGAATTTCGCTCTGTGAACAGATCGTCGGGTGTACGCATGCAATACCTCAAATGTGACCTGAATTAAGCAGAGTGCAGGACCACCGGGCAGCGCTCACATCCGAATTTAAATTCCAGTCACGTCGTCCTAGGGCAGCAGTTCACAACCCGGTGATTGTAGACCCCCTACAGCTGCGTGAAAAGCTAATCAGCCTGCGGGCGGTCCGCAAGGTCCCAAGGTACGCCAATGAAAAACGACAACTAATAGAGGCCAATTGACATTGGGAGGCAAAATATCATCCTGTAAAATACGTAAGGCCAGGATAAGCAGTTTGACATTTGGGTGTCTTTGAGGATGGTACTTTATGGATTTTAGAGAACACGCAGGGGTAACTGCTATGGCCATCAAGACAGCTAGAGTGTTTAAAGATTCCTATATCTGCCAGTATGTGCGTGTCTGACACTGAGCAAAGCAGCTTATGTGTCAATCAACAACACATCATTCTAAGGGTGACTGTAAGTCATGGTCTTACTGGGCCACTGCAACTCATACAAGACGTCTCCTTGTTCTGGCTGCCAAAGCTGCAATTTTGGTCATGTCTAGATGCATTGTTGAGTTGTAACCTGAGGCTCTTGTGAATTTCACTATTTGACAGCCATGATTAATGCAGCACTCTTTTCAGAAAGCATTTTAAATGTTACGGTGACAAATATTTCCATACAAATAAATTAAATTAAACAAAATCAGCATGGGATTTCATGCAAGAGTGGCTGTATATAAAAAAACAATTATAGAGAATGATCAAATTAATTATGGTTCTCTTAATTCCTGCCCAAATAGAAGATTCACAACCACCAGGTATACATTTGCTTTTAACAACATTCTCCCTGTTGTGAAAATCCTTAAATATCTTAATGTATTTACACGAATTTAAAATAGTAAGAAGATAAACGTGGTTACCCACTCCATTGAGAATGGAGCAATGCTTTTACTTGTTTACAGCTCTAAACCAGTGGTAGATATACTACACAACGATGGGAAATGCTAGCCTCCCCATATCACAAGACACTGCTGAATTCCCCACAAAGCAGCACTCATTTTATAAACCGCAGAGGGATGAGGACCTAAGTTTACCGCCGACCAGGATATGAACTTACTACCTTGTGCCCTCTACCACTGCGCCACCTGGCCAGTTAAAACGATGGTGCTAAACATGCAAAAGGGTGGTGCTAAAAATAACATTAAATAAAAAAGAGATTACCACCCAGGCCATCTCAATCCTACACTCTGTGATCGTAGCCACAGCAGGGCCGACCGCTCTTTTAGGCACCGGATGGTGTGTCCCCTCTGGGTCACTTCACAGCGGAGGCCTGGAGGCAGAGCGCCAGGCTGAGGGAGGCAGCCAGGTGCGGCGCCTAGCAGAGGTCGCAACCGGGTACCCGATACCCGTACCCTACCCGATACCCGGCGACCCGTACCCGGCCGGGTACGGGTACGACCCTGGTGCGGCCAGGTACGGGTAGGCCGTGAGTCACTGGTGAGTAAACGTTTGTCACTCATTTCGGGTAGGGTACGGGTAGGGAACGGGTACCCGTACCCGGCCGGATGACATATTTCCAACAACTCCCAAAATAAAGAGAACTCGAGAGATAAACGACCTGAGGATATAGCAAATCAAGGCATGCTAAATGCAGTCACAGTAGAAAAGGTTAAGTAAGAATACCAGTTGAGGTGTAGAAGAGATTAGGAAAGGAAAGGGCTTTTACACTGACTAGCAGAGGTCGCAATCGGGTACCCGATACCCGTACCCTACCCAATACTCGGCTACCCGTACCCGGCCGGGTACGGGTTTGTGACCCTGGTGCGGCCGGGTACGGGTAAGGAATCAAAACCCGTTTGCGACCTCTGGCACCTGGGCATGAAACGGAGAGCAGTGCCTCGCTTCATTATCAGCGGGGCCCCCGTGACACTCTCCCTGGTGGAGCGAAAGCGCATCATCGAGTCTTATTCAAAAATGCTTAATCAAATAACACACACACACACGCACACGCCATCTGCCCTAGTGCGAGAGAAGAAGAGGAAAGACAACCATCACAAGGCGAGGCAGCTAATTCTATATATTAAATACAAATGAAGCCGAGTTGCCTGTGGTGACGTAAGGAATACGAATATATTCTATTCTCACACGAACCGAAGAAGAATGAGATCATGTCACAAACTATATGTAAAACATAATTATTGTTGCATATTAAACATCGTAATAATGTGTAAAGCAATAATACATTTGTGTAATTTTAATATGTGCGTATTATGATTGACAGCATGGACTGCAGTAGTTTATTTAATATGATTGTATGCCCTTTTCAATGTAAAAATAAACTCGGCTACTCTTGAAGAACAAGAATAATTTTAAGTTGGGGGATTGCATATTCTTGTACAGTATTTTTGTATTCATATGTTATACTAATTTAGGAAAGGAATTATACTTAAAATTAAATATTGTTATATGCAGGAT